CAGCTCCAGGCCGGGCTTCTCACAGAGCAACAGGACTACCTCCCACCTGGCCCTCCCTGACTTGCTCAGCCTTCAGCCTCAGCTGGCTGGTCCACACAGGGCACCGGCCTTATAGCACCGATGGATGCCTCAGCTTCCTCTGCCACCTCCTGCCCCTGCTCTGTGACTCTCTCCATCACCGGCCTCCTTTCCCTAGCCCGCCCTGCCTGTACCTCCCACACTCACACTCAGCCTGGAAGTTCTGAGGGAGGCTCAGAAGGGTCCCAGGAAAGGGGGCTTTGGTGTCCCTACTCACCAGCCTGGCCTTGTGCCATGGAACTTCTCCCATGCAAAGGCCCCTTCCCACTCCCCAGGAGTCCCAGTGGCCCCCAACATCCTGGCCAGTCCTGGCAGCTGCCCTGTTCCTGCCAGGCCTCTGGCCATCAGCCCAGCCACTGGCTTCCCTTGAGGCAAAGGCTCAGACAGTGTCTGTCCAGGATGAAATGTGGCCCAAGAAGCAATTACCAGGGTATCATGGGCTGGGCCGTGCTGGGGTCAGGGCAGAAGTCCTTGCCATGATATCCTGTCTGTCCATGCAGTAAATCCCCTCGCAGATGAGACTGGTCTCTCCTCATGACTCATGGTCCCCGGCCAGGCTGGGTTTGTCCGCAGTCCCAACTGCAGGACTGTCTGGGGTGCCACAGGGCCATTGTTTGCTGCCCTTGGCTGAGGTGTGAGGGAGCCCAGCTCCAGCCCCCAGGCTGCATGCCCCTGGGCCACTGCTCCCTGGCTGGGGGCAGGAGCTTTTCTAACTCTTCCACTTTTCCTGAGCCCTGTATGACCTGCAGTGCCCCTGGTGGCCCTCGCGTTCCCCACACCCCACCGGCACCGCTTCTCTCATCCCAGAGCCATGGCAGCCAAAGCCCCACCATTGCCCGCCAGGACCTGCTGCAGCCCCTCTCTAGTCACCCTGCCTCTGCCCCGCGCCCAGTCTTCCAGGCCTCCCATCCACCCATCCAGGAGGAACTTTCTAAATGTATAGCTGATATGTCCACCTCTTAAAACCCTCCCAGGGGGCCTTCCTGGTAAAAGTCAAACTCCTTGCCATACCCACAAGACCCCACACACTGACCCCAGGTGACCACTTGGCAGCAGGCCTCATGCCCTCAACCCAAATGCTAAGCTCTGCCCTGTCCTAGTGCCACACACAACCACCCAGTAATCATCTCGGCCCCAGGGCCCTTGCATGTGCTGCAGCTTCAGCCCACACTGCCTCACCCCCCTGCTCCCCTCCGTCCCTGCTGCAATGGCCCTTCCTCTGAGGACCTGCCCTCACCTCTCCAGTCTAAATCGGGTCTTACCTTGGTTCAACTGCATGGCTCTTCTTACAGTCTGAAGTAGTATTTTCTTGTTAGAATTATTGGAGTAATTGCTGTCTCCTCCCTGGAACACATGCTCCATGAAGGAGAGGATGGCACCTTTCTGGTTCCTGTGGCAGCATCAGTTCACACTGAGTACCTGGCATGCAGAAGCCCCTCAGTAAATAGTTCTAGAATGAATGAGACCCAGACAGCTCAGTGGTGGCCTTGGGATGTGAACTAAGTCAGCAGCCCTTGCTGCTTTTCTCCATCCTCACTTCCTCCAAGCAAGGGGTCGGCACCCTGGTGGCATGGCTCCTCCGGTGGGATGGGGCCCCCCCAGCATGCCTTGTCCTCAGGCCTGGCTGCTGCAGATGAATGCCCATGAATCAAGTTGACATTTCCATTACCTGAGGGAGACAAGTGTGTAGCTCAGATGGGTTGGCTTTGGTGGGGGAGGCAGGCATGACTACTTATCACAGCCACCAGCCAAAGAGGGAAGTCAGCCCGTGGGTGACTTCCTGAGGCCTGGGCCGGCCCATGAGCACTCAGCCAGGGAAGCACCATGGCCCCAAGGGCCCTCTACACCTGGGGGTAGGGGGTGGCCTGGGAAAACAAGAGGGCAGAGCTCCACTTCAGGGCACCAACCATGGGCAGGCGCAGGCATAGAGATGTATGTGTCCAGGGCTGGCATGTGCACCCTGAGTGTGTGTCCAGGGCCAACAGGAGCACACGGGGATGGATGAGCGCTGAGTTGACATGGGTAGCATGTGTGTGCATACAAAGCACCAACTCGTGCCTGTACAGTGTTCAGGTCAGCATGTGGACACAGAGACACTGGGTGCCAGTGCCCAGAGCAGAAATGTCTGTGTAAGAACTACTCCAGGCTGTGGGTGAGGCCAGCCTAAGGGGGTCAAGACTGAAAGGCTCACAGAACATGCCCACTCCATGCAGATGTCTGCAGGGGTGGGAGGAGGGGCCTTAGCTTCCTCATCTCGGTGTATGTGCTCACCCAGGCACCCCGGCCTTCAAACCAGGTGGTCCTCCCTCCTCCCAGATTGGGGCAGATGGTGACATTTGCTCCCTGCATGATGACCCCTCCCATTGATTCTCAGTTGGGACTCATTGGCATCAATCACCTGGCCTGCCTGGAAGTGCTTCCTTTTATCTAACCAGCAGCCTTCTTGCTACAGGCTCACTGAGACTGAAAGACAGTTAGTTCTCAGCCCCTGCCCAGCTGGTGCCAAGTAGGGGACAGCAGTACTTGAAGCCTGAGTGGCCCTGTGGGCCTCCACCTCCTTCCCATCCTTCCCTGGCCTGTGCAGAGGGTAAGAATGGCTCTTCCTTGAGGCATCCACATAGCATGACCACGTACCACTTGCACAATCATTTATTTAACATTTTTCTTTACGCCAACTCTTTTTTACTTATATGCCTATTTTGGTTTCATCCTAAGTGATAACATCTGTGAAATCATGGCACTGATGTGCCTGTTATACATTTTGTCCTAATACACATTTACATAAACACAACTATTAAAATAGATTAAAATTTTGCCCATATATCAACTAGAATCATCACCTGAACCTCTATGGCCCACTTGCCAGCTTTAGAGGAACCTGGGTGGAAATTAAGAGCTTCAAGGTGCCTGGTGCCCTGGGCCAGACTCCGGTTGGACAGCTCCCTGCGTAGCGCCTCTGCCGGCTTTCTTCCTTCCCAGGGGCCAAAGCCCAAACCCCTTGTCCTGACACCTGAGGCCTTTGTAATGGGCCCAATCTCTCTGCCAGATCCATTCCACCTGCTCTATACATCAGGTTTGTGAGTTTTACTGAATGAAGGGAAAATGGATTAATGAATCATGCACTTGATTAATCAATGCATAAATGGATGAATGAGCACACATCTTCACCTGGTGTCCTCTGGCACCCGAGGTTACAGTAACTCGGGAGTCATCATATCCTTCCCTTCCTCCCACACCAGTGCACCCCAAGCCTGTCGAGTTCGCCTCCAGACTAGCACCTGAATCTGCCCTCAGTGTCCCTCCCAGGGCTACTTTGCTGAACCCAGCCACTCTCTTCTCTCCCTTGGAGTGCGGGAAGGTGAGAGAGAGAGCCAACCCTAGTTTCAGCTCATAGCAACGTAGTCCTCCCAGAATTCACAGCTGGGTGTTTCCTGTTCTCGTGCACCCCTGCTGCCACTGGCCCTGGGATAAAGTCTGAGTTCCCCAAGGAGGCTTCCAGTCCCTCCAGCCTGGCCCCACTGACCTCTGGAGCCTGATCTCTCACCACACTTGGCTGCCCTCCCTGCTCTTCACACCTGCCATCTGGACTATTAGAGTGCCTATAATGTTCCCAGCTTTCTTCCCATCTACAACCCTGCCTGCCTGACATCTCAACAACCTTCATGTCTTGGCTTGAATGTCATTTTTCCAAAGAAGCCTCCCCTGACCACCACTAACCCCCCAGCAGGTGCTGCCTTTGGGCCCCCACAGCCCCCAAATTGCCCTCATTGAGATAACAGCGAACATCAACAGAGCATTTACTATGTGCCAGGCTCTGTTCTAAATGCTTCACGTACAATAGCCCATTTAACCCTCAGATTAGCTGTAAGAGGTAGGTATAATGATTATCCCCATGTGCCCATGGGGATGAGGCACAGAGAGGTCAGGTAACTTGCCCAAGGTCTCAAGAGCAGGAGCTGGAATCTGAACCCAGGCTGCCTGGCCCCAGAGTCAGGCACCACAGCATTTCCCACATTGTACTATAGTCATCTGTCCAGTTATCTGTCCTGCCCTCGCAGGATGGTTTAATATCCCATCTCAAGTGCCTACCACAGTGCTTGGCACACAATAGGGACACAATGCATTATATCATTGGATAGATGGATACACACATGGATGCTTGAATAATGAGGATGGGTAATGCATGAAAGGATGATGGATGGATGTCTGATACAAGGAAGGATGACAACTGAAGGGTGGATGGTGGCTGGATGAATGGATGAATGGATGGATGGATGGGTGGATGATGAATGGATGATGGATGATGGATGGATGGATGGATGGATGGATGGATGGACGATGGAGGGATGGATGGATGATGGAGGGATGGATGGATGATGGATGAGTGGATGATGGATTTATGGAAGAATTAAAAAGAGTATTCTCTACTTGAGGGAAAACTAGAAACCTTTCTGGGAAGGGATGAGGCCTCTTGGAGTCAGGAGTCCAGATTCAAACCCCAGCTCTGCCATTGACTTGCTGTGTGATCTTGGGCACATTACTTCATCTCTGTGAACCCCATGTTTATGGTAGGGATCTGTTTCCCCAGGCATCTAAACCCTAGGATTTAATGTAAAGGTGGCTCTAGACACAGGGTAAAGGGTCCCCATGGGGGTCATGGTGCCTTAGGGCCCAGGTGTGAGGGCCTGTCTCTCTGCAACCAAAGCAGCCTGCCAGCCCAGCTCCATCCTAACCCTGCCCCCCAAGACCCAGCCTCGGCTCTAGGCTCCCCCTCTACACACCTCAGTGCCTGGCCCTGGCACCAGCACCACCCCCAGGGCTGTATCACCTGCAGGATCCTTGAGGACCCAATAGGGCGGGGCCCCGAGGGAGCAGCCCCAGCCTGGAGAGCCACTGGCCTCCACACACAGCACAAGAGCAGGTTAGGTTCAACAAGGATTTATTGAGCCCTTGCTGTGTGCCCACTGTGTGTCCCCCACCACAGTGCTGGGGCCTTGTCCCTTCTTCAGGGCCCCCACTCCCTGCCCCGAGCAGGGCCCTGCGCCACTGGGCACCTCCTGAACCTCCTGGCTGGCTCGTGGGTCCCCAGGCTTTCGGTGGCTGATGTCTGTCTTTCCTGGCATCCCCACTGCCCCCAGAAGGGCTCTGCATGTGATGGTGGTGAGAACTAGAAGGTGCTGTCCCAAAGTCCCTTTGTGCAGCCCTGTGTATTCCCTCGGGCCACCCTGGTCCCTGTTCCAGGAGCCTGAGACCCAGGCTACAGGCCTGTTGTGTCCCACACAGGTCAGCTGAGTTCACAGCACACAGGCCAGGCTTCTGGGGGTGCCAACCAGTGGTCCTGTCGCAGGGGCTGGGGCCAACGATGGCCTGAGGTCTGGGGGTCAGGCCGGGCCTCAGTCACACCCAGTGCCCCAGGACCCAGCACTGGCGGTTCAGCTCTGGCACCTCCTGGGCAGAGCTCCGGGGCCAGGAATCTCCCATGCGTGGCTGGTGTCCTGCCAAGAGACACAGTGGTCAGCACTGACAGCTGCATTTCTCCACCTCACCCTAGCGGCCCACAGCCCCACCTGCACAGGCATTACCCACCTCTAGCTTCCAGGCCTGTCACCTGCCCTCAAATACTCCTACCCACCCACCTAGCAACCCACACCCAGCTCACCACCTGGTCCCAGCTTTCCCTCCATCTCCTGTACACCTAGCTCTCTACCTCATCCCATGTACCCCTCATCCACCCATCTCCCCACCAGTCCACCAGTACCTAGAGAAACATGTGCCCGTATCCACTGCCATCCACTCACCACCCCACCAGGACACCCACTGCTCCACTCACACACTCTTCCTACCCACAGCTCTCCCACAACCCCCAAAGCCGCTCATGCACCTCCCAGCCCAGCACGCCAGCACACCCACATTGTGTCTCCGCCCTCCTGCCACTCCATTAACACAGCTTCTTACACATGCATCTCCCCATAACCCAAGCCATCCACTCATCTACCCACCAGTCCACCGCCTACTCACCTGCTTCCCAACCTGCTCACACCCACTAACTCACCAAGCGTCCAGCCCCCATGCATCTGCCCCCCAACCCTCCTGCCTGCCCCCTAACACACCAACACACCCTCCCAGCAACCCACCTGGGCCCTGCTCACCCGCCGCCCTCACTCACCCACCACATGGAGCCATCTGCCCAGTCAGGCAGTCTCCCCACCTCCTGTCCACCTTCCTTCTCCGTTTGCCTACTCATACCCTCAGTCCGCCATCCCGTCTCTCACCTGCCCACCCATCTACTCACCCACCCAGGCCAGCCGTCATGTAGCCACCTCCCCACTGCCCATCCACCTGCCAAGTTAGGCTTCCCTGTGCCTCGGCACCACCATGGGCTCGAGGAGCTGCGGGAGGGTCAGAAGGAGAGCAAGTGTAGATGGCCGCAGCCGGTGCTTCCTGGACCCCAGGGACAATGAGAGCGTGGGTGCACCCACAGCCAACTCTGGGCAGTGCCCAGACCCAGACAGGGGCAGGGACTGTCCCCCTCCTGCCACTGCCACATCTCCTGACAGCCTCGGAAGCTCGCTCCCTGCCTTGGTGTGAGCGTCTCCTGAAAGTCTTTCTGACACGTCAGGACCATGTACCCACTGTGAACTGAACCCTCAGGGACCAGCCCACATCACCCCTCCTGCAAGAAACCCACTGGCATCTTCTCCCCTGCCCTCTGGGTCTTCCTCATTTGGAGCACCCAGTCCGTATGGCATGCCCCAGCTGTGCCCCTATTAGACTGAGAGCCCAGGAGAGTGATGGCTCAGCTCCTGGCAGATGTTCCTTAGTGGAAAGCAGGGCAGTGAGCTGGCGTGGTGGAAGGGCTGGAGGGCAAAGGAGAAAACGCAGTGACTGACCTTTTATATTCCCTATGCCCTACTAGATTCCAGTTTCACAAACCTGCGAGGCAGCTACCACCCATTTTACAGATGAGGAAACAAGACTCAGAAAGGATGAGCAGCCACCTTAGGGTTCACAGCTATGACGGAGCTGAATCAAATCAATTTCTCCCTGATTCCAAACTTCTACATTAAATTTGTTCCATGCTGTTTTGTTTCCCTACTCTGAACTCTAATGGAAGGTCAGACAGGCTTTTTACCACAGGCCCCTTGAGGTGCAAATTCCCACTGAAGCCAAGCTCCTGCTTGCCCATCACCAAGGACAGGCAGTTCATTACTCTTCTTTCAGCCCCAAAGCAGCTTTGATTGTTGGGAGAGTCTTTCTAATGACAGAGGCTGGAAAGCAACTGGCAAGATGGAGATGGTTGTGCCAACAGTAGTGGGGAGGCACATTTTTTTTTTCCTTTGGCTTTTTTTTTCCTGTTTTTAATATTCTTTAAAGTTGGCACTTTGCTAATTTTACTAGTATTCTTAAAATGGTTGGAAAACATTTGGCAAACATTCTGGAATTGTTTGGCCTCAGAAAAAACATTTGTTTGGGCCCCAGTCACTGAAACAGTTGCATTCCTTGGAAATGCTTGCTGCCAAGATATAGGTGTTTGGGATTTTTTTTTCTTTTAATCTAGAAGCAAATATTTGGTGCACAGAAAGGTCTGATTGTTTTTCTGAATGAATATTTAGAAGTGATTGTAGCTGTTCTTACCATTGCCAACAGGCAGAGAACCATGGAGAGTTTATTAGAACAGAGAGAAAGAGATCGTGTACTTTTAAGGGAAAAGGCCACAACCCCTGTCCTTCCTTGAGTTAAACTCAGGCTCCTTGTCTCCTGGATGTGGAGGACAAGTTGAGGCCTTGGGGCCCTCCTTTCCTCACCAGCCTCCCACAAGGGGCTTGGGCCCCAGAGCCGATTACAGTGGGTGTGGGGGCTCTGTCCTCCCCATCCCTGAGGAGCGCCCCACCCGTCACCATGACTCCCTGCTCACATCCCTTTTCCTGGTCCCTTTACTATGGGGTCAGTGACCAGCCAGAGGAAAAAAAAAAACAGCACCTTATACTATATAGATTGGGGAGTCCCACCTCAAAATGTCTATTGGGCCCAAGGAAATGACATAAATGGCTGAAGTGGCCAGAAGCAGCCATTCCTCAGCTCTGGCCAATTATTGCCAAAGGAAATGTGGGCTCAGTTCTTCCAAAAAGTTCAGAGATCTGAAAATTAGGATTTCAAAATAAAATCTCCTGGTTTTTAAATGATGACAACTAAGACTTCTAAAACATTTTAAGCAATCTGTAGCCTAGAAGCATCTCTCAGGCTGGACTCCTCCCACAGGAGACCATTTCTGACCTCTGACTCTTTCCCAGCCTGATGTTTGTTGTGCGGCTCTGCCTCATGGATTTGCACATTCTGGTGCCTTCACTGGGGGCCCTTCCCCACTGTTCTCTGGCTGTTGAGCCCCTCACTTCTCCTTTAAATGCTCCCTCCTCTGGTGAGCATTCGAGGCCTCCCAAGCCGAGGCCCTGCTCCCCCCACCCTGTGACCCTGCAGCGCCCTGCGTGTCCCCCTCTGCCCCACGCCATGCTTGTCGTTTCCTGCGTGTTGGGCTGACCTCCGCAACTAGGCTGGGGATTCGGTGCCGGGAGGGACTGGGGACCGGGTCTGCTTCATCCTGGAGCCCTCAGCCCCCGGCACCTGGCCAGGCACAGAGCATGTCCTGAACTGACTTCTTATAACAAATGAAGAGACCACAGAGGAAGTGCATGGACTGATCCCTAAGCTTGGAGGGTGAACTCCACCCACCCCTCCTGCTCTGACATCCTGTCCATTATGGGAGGCTCTTCGCTCAGCCTCTCCCTCTTTGGGGCCAGGGGAAAAAACTGTACTTAGAGGCTATCAGGGGTTCACATCCAGTCTCTACCACTTACAACCTGCATGAACTTTTTCAAAGTGGTGTGGCTTTTGACAAGTGACTTCACCTCTCTGAGCCTGCAAGTGGAAGCAAGTTACAAAAGGCCCAGCAGGCCCAGCAAACCACCTGCTGCAAGTTCTTCATTATCAGACCTCAGATAGATGGGAAAATGACAAATCCAGAGGGCAGCTAAATTCAGCAACCTCTTTTTACAGATGGGGAAGCTGAGGCCCATGTGTGGGAAGAGATCTGCCCAAGGTCCCTCTCACCGGGTTGGCAGCAAGCACTATGTTTCAAATTCCCTTGGAACCTCCCAGGCTTACAAAATATGTGGCCCCATAGGAGATTCTCATGAGATCTCTCTTCCCTTTTTAATCCAAATGGCAAAACATAAACATATTTAATATTCAGTCTCCTCCAGCTCTAATTTCTCAATCCTTCAGTGAGGAATTAATCTCCAAGTCACCAGGCTCTGCAGAGATCAGCTCTCGGCGCTGCTGAATTGTACGAAATCACACCCGTGGATCCACAATGGATTCACTGGGCTGGAAGGGCCCTTCATGAAAGACCAAGAATGCCAATGCCCAAAGATGTGCAGATGGGGACTGGAGGCACTTGGAGGGGAAGGACTTGTCTGAGCTGATAATGGAGTTAGTGGGCTGGTGAGGCCTTGGGGTGGCTGGCTGGCTGGCAGTGGCATTCCTGACCCACAGCAGCCCAGCCTGGGACGGAAGAGCCAGCTGGACCCCACCACCTGCTGTCCAAAGTGCGGAAGGCCTGCCTTCAGGGCTTGTGGACCCATTCAGACCCTACTGTCTGGCTACCCAGCTTTGAGCCCTTACCTCTAGAAAGAGGTGGGATGTGGAGAGTGATGAAGAAATGAACCAAGGTTGGCACTGAGGCTGGCTTTGGAGACCCTCAGCTCGTGACACCATCAAATCCCTCTTCTATTGCCTAAAATATCACAACTTCAGCAAAGGCATCCTGACAGCCTGTCCAAGTCACCTGCCCTGTAAATCTATGCCCCAAGGTGCTTCAAGAACTCCATCATAGTTGGTAACATCCCATTTCTGCTAAAGGCTTATGTAATGTGAGGACTGGCTCTGCTTTTACTCATGGGGTGTCCCCAGCACCTAGGACACTTCCAGGCACAAAGCTGACAGTGTAGCTCTGTTAATGAATAAACAGTGAAGATTCAGGAAGAAGAGCATGTTTGCGTGGGATCCATGTGGAGGGGAAAGATGGTTTGCTCGGCTACCCTGGGGGAGGGCCTCTCAGGAGATGGGATGAGGACCCTTCCCTTCTCTTTTTGTCTGTCTTCTGTGAGCTCAGTGTTCTGGACCATAACACTCTCTTTGCCTCTCCCCCACACTTGGGATCGGGCTGTCCAAGTAACCTGCCACCCTCCCTAGAGCCATTGATCCCTTCATTTCCTTGTTAAACATTTGTTGAGCACCTACTATGTGTCAGCCTCTGTACTGGGTGCTGGATCTGCAGACACAAATGCGAGGCAGACCTGCCCTCTGGGTGGCTCACGTCTAATGAGGGAGTTAGACACGCATATGAAGAGGCGTGCCAGGGCCATTCACTGTGCCCCACGCCCACTGGCTCATTTAACCCCCAGAAATATGAGTTAGGTGCTGTTACTATGCCCATTTT